GGTCACTTGACTTCCCTAAAGAGGTCAAGTTCAGTTTTCTGGTTTGGGTTTCTGGTATAACAGTTGATTATTACAGTTATTACCTGAAAACGTCACGTTCCAGAACCCAAACGCTGGCGTCTGTGGTGGCCGCCACGGTCGCGGAGCGGGGGCAGTCGTACATAAGGCTGATTTCGCCAAACACGTCACCGCGCTCCTTCGTGTTGACCTTGAACATGACATCTTTCCGACGCTCCAACACCTGTCGGGTGCACGCGCGTGTGCGTGTGTGTATGTGCACAAGTATGTATATATGTGTAAGTAGTATAGTTGAGCAGGATGACAACAAATGGCTAGTTAGATGGGAAGCCTCGGTGCCTTTGTGTCTGTGGGTGTATTAATGACCTGAGCGTGGGCGTTTTACGTGTGAATATGCGTAAAGGTTGTAAAACATTGCATTACACGTCAGGAACAGAAAATGGTAACCACTGCTTTCGTGTGCTTATTTGCCCCGGGGGGAAGAGCTGTATGTGGCTGGGGGCCGGTAGGGTTGAGCCAACCTGGTGGGGTTGAGCCCGCCTGGTGCGGCCTCGTTTGAATTTTTTAAAGCGCTCCTGCTCTTTCCTCCATGCAAACTCCTGGATTAATATTTTCACCGTGCATGGATTATTATAATGGTGTGGTTATGGTAACGGTAGCGATGCCGGCGTCCCGCATTAGGCCCGGTTTCGGTGCTCCTGCGGATTCACCTCGAATTTGCCGCTCCGCACAACAAACAGTTTGGTTGCGGCGTCTCCGCTATCCCCTTGCTGAATCAGGATTTCGCCAGCTGTCACCGGAAGCATGTACATGTGCGCCACAATTCTCTGAGCTGTACCCCGATCCAGGCGGCTGAAAAGCAGCAGATTGACGAGCGAACTCTGCAATTCATGTCGAGAGCAAAGCGTGAGCTGGATGCCAATCAGCCAGATCAGCAGCAAAACTGACCCTGATGCAGTCATAATCCTCAACAGCCACAGGCGTCGCCTTCGGCGGAAGCTTTACTTCAAGCTTGGTGACTCCAGCCTTGTTCCCAGTGATGGCCTTTTATCGCGGACATACAAAGATACAGTTTTTGATTATTTAGTCAGCTTTCTCAGGAACCTGCTGGGCACCACCTGGGCGCACATCTCTCACACCTTTGCACGTCCGACTTGCGTTCTCTGTGCGATATACGCGACAGGTCCGCCCTCCCCATCTGCATACTTGCTGCTCTCCGCACCCATGTCTTGCTCCCAGTCGCTGCCGGAACTATCCGCAGCAAGCTGAGCGTCGAGTGCCTTAAGCTGTTCAGCAAGGGAGTTGTGTTTGAGCGCCAGCGTTGCGAGAACCCTCTTTGGGTCTTTATTTAGGACGTCGATGTGAAAAAGCCGGTAGCGCTGGTACAGAAAAGTTGCGGACAAGGCGTACAGACGTTCCCCCCGCAAAAACCTTCAGGCTCCAATCATGCTCACAAGAAGCGTAATCTCTCAGGCAACTCGCATCGTATGGTTGCGAGCGTTTTCCCGTCATCCTCTCGAGAGCCTGTTACGGCGTACGGACACGTATTGTTGGGCTAGCTCAAAGCTCAAAAACGCATAGTAAGGTGAGAAAACCTAACATTGAGTTATTTGTTGTAGAGACAGTGCTTTATTTTTAGTGTCAATGCGGCGTGAGCCTTAATGAGGGATGTTTCTTAAGGACGTTCAACAGCGGCTTCGCGGACAGCTTTATTATCCATAATGTTAGAATTTTATGGATTGTAAGTTGATGTCCCTAGGTGATGGAAACTGTTATTTAATATGCGCTTAAATTAACCTCTCAACCCGATCTCATGGTTTTCTCGCTGGAAAGCCACGTATATAACAAAAGCATGTGTTCGATACGCATAACTGCATTGGTTTTCTGACGAAACCCTCGCGCTGAGTCGCGCTATGTACGGATGTGTGACACTGCATGGTGTTCGTGATACGGCTTCGTCCATGTTCAGGTGGCTTTGGGCTTGTTCACATTGCATCACTTCCGGCCCTTGATTTGATGCATTGCGACCAGTGGAACAGCCCTCGGACCTCGTAAGCGAGGAGAGCGGTTGATCAGCCTAAAAAGGCCGTCGAGCCCGTTGTTGACCCCGTCGTGAGTTTATGTTGAGAGCCTGCCTAGTTTTCCAAATGCCAGTCCCTTGTAAGCAAAAGCGGTGTATGTTAAGGTGGCTTCAGGGTTCGTACGAAGTATAAGGATGTGTACTGCATGTAGGGCCGTGAACTGTAGACCTTATGACTGAGGGAGCCGACCTATTTGACCCTCCAAAGCCGGGGTGCTGTGAAGGAGCGGCCTCGCTTGGGCTGCGCCGACCCATGGGGACTTCGGCTGCCAAGTAGCGCGCAGCATAGTGAAAAGGCTAAAGGATTTATAATACCGAATGAACTCATTTGTCAAAGATTTAAGCACGAGAAAATTTCTATGCATTGCTGTACCCGAGCAGGAGCCAAATTTTCGCATGCAATTTCTCATTTGCTCTAATAACGCATTAGGTGTATTGCTGTATAGGTACAAGTCCTTGCAATAACGTTGAGACAAATGTCAGCCGCGACGATTCGCTCGGCAGGGGTTGTGAGCTGCTCAGGTCGGGTGATTGCCTTGCCAGCACATATTTCTCTGAATGTAGTTTCACTTCCACGAGCAGCGCCGTGGCTAGCGACCAAGATGCACCAAAGAGGTAGCTTGCTCCGGAGCATGGGACCTGACCAATTCCAGTCTGCACCTCCGTTAGCGGATGAGTCTCCGGAGTCTACCACCTCGGCAGAATCAACGGTATCCGTATGCACCTGGGTGGGCTCTGATCGCGCTTGCGAATGAGCGCAAGCCCCCATCCCTGATTATGCCCCGCGTAGGAGGTCTCTGGTCTGATTAACACCAGCAACTTTAATGCCATGGCTGCGCTCGCGTCCGTTGGTATGATCGAGACGGCGTATCTAACCTACGTGAGTAATTGCGAGTAAATGAAGCTATGCGCGGGGTTCACGGTGAACGGTCGGTTCGCGACGAGCAACGTTCCCCAGCTGAACTCTCCATCCACCTCTTTTCCCGAGTGTGGTTTCTACTTGCGAAACACAAAACATTTGTCCTTGTTTGCTGCTTCGCCTGTTCATGGGCACGCTCGGCGGAGCGCTACGCGCACGCTTTCGCCGTACACTGCCGCAGGTCCCCAATCCCGTCCAGATGAAGGCTGCTCTGCCTGCCAAGCTTTCCAGAACCTTCCAACATCCCCATCGTATCAATGTGTCATTTTCCCCTTTCCTCATCATCCCTCCTCCTATTCCTCAGGTCAAGCTGTTCAATGGCCCCCTGGTTTGCCCCACGAACGGCTGCGAAAGTGTGCTCGGCAGTCCATACGCGCAGCTGTACGGCATGCCGCTATCGCTGTTTGGCATGCTGGCGTACGGCGCAGTCGGCGCTCTGGCGGCTACGTACGTACAACAAGCCAAGGCAAACGCGCCGGCGTCTGTACGGGAAACGACCCTGCTGGGACTTACGGCGGGTGTGGCGGCTTTGGCAACCACAAGTGCCGTACTCATGTAAGCTTTCGCTAATCCCTTCTGATTTAATAAATCTCATAAGTCCGAGCTGCCTGTGCCGTTAGCTTTACTGCATTCCGAAGCCGCCGCGTTCCAACCGTCGAATAAACTAACCAAACTAATCAACTAATTTAACCAACCGCCAACCTTGTTAACAATCAGCCGTCACGCCCAGTCCTCCTAAACCCGAATCACCCTAATCTTGTTATCCATGCCAACCCTGTTCCCTCCCTTCTCTGTCTATGTTTTGGTGTCACGTGTCTGTGTTGTTATGGTGGATGTTTGTGTTGATGGTCGTGTTGATGGTCGTGTTGATGGTCGCGTTGTGGTGTGTGTTGCCGTGTTGGTGTTGGCGGCTGCCTCCTCCACCAGCTCCATTCTCCAGACCCGGCTGGGAGGCACCCCCTGCGCCTGGTGCTACCTGTCAGCCGGTGTCTCGGTCACCTTAGCTGTGACCCTCGGGACATCACTCACAAGCAAGCAGCTCAAGGCGAGTGGCCGGGGCCCCCTGGGCAGAGTGTTAGGGTAGCTGAGGACGATCGGACAGCAGGGCATGACAGGCAGGGTGGCAGGGTAGGAGGTGGGGGTTGGCGGCCCGACGGCACGACACGGCACCGCACGGCACGGCACATCAAGATAAAATCCTTCCCCGCCCTGGACCCCTGCGTATTGGTCTGATTGTCTCATACATACAGGGGGAATGATTCCCTGTTGCTCGGCACTTGCCACCGGTGCATCCTGCAAGAGCAGTCTGATATCTGCCGTACATAAGCCCCATGTACATTCCTTTTATCTAAAAAGCCTCACCGCTGCTATGTCGCCTACCCGAAGACCTGGCCCCTGGACGAAGGACCTCAGCAATTTCGGAGTTCGGACTTTTTGACGCCGAAAGTTTATTTCTAAGTTTCCCGCACATGTCCCCCCCCCTGGATTTATGTACGGCTGGTGCCCGCCTCCCCAACACACATACATACATACATACACTCACAGGAGAACGCGCTCAGCGGAGTGGGGGGTGCGCTAGCAACCGCAGCCGTACTTTACGGAGGGCTGCCCAAAGGCTCCAGCGCGGGGACGGTATACGACGAAAACTTCTTTTTGCCGTACAGGGTGAGAATTAATTACGGTACGGGGATAATAGGTCAGCACCTTTGCCGTATACTGCTGCTTGATGCCGAGCGCGCTGGCGCTGGTTTCGGAACATCTAATGATGTTGCTACTGCTACCACTACCACCACCATTCCTACTATTACTGCCACTACCTCCATTGCTACTGCTTCGCTCCTTCGCAGGCTCCGTTGGTGTCCGGTCCCTCCAGCGATCGTGCGATCGACCTGGCGAGGCGACTGAGTGCTGTCGGCGCCCGCATGTACGGCGCCTTCTGGTGCTCCCACTGCCTGGAGCAGAAGGAGGAGTTTGGCGGTGCAGCAATGGCGGAATTTCCCTACGTTGAGTGCTTCCCGAACGGCTGGAAGCGGGTAGGTGCGGCGGCTCGGGGTTGCGGTGAGAGGGAGGGGGTTGAGGGGTGAGCGTGCCGTGTCATGCCCCCTATCATTGTCGGGTGCTTTGTGATGTGTTGGCGTCGTGATGTGTTGCTGTGACCTCAAGAACAGTGACGGTCCTGTGGCTTGGGAAGAGGATGCCACAGGTCGATCATTCGCCGCTTTTAAGCTACGGAGACCTGGACGGCAGGTATGTACAGTATCTTCTTAGTCCAGTCGTGTTTGCGTTTTCATGATCTACTTTACATCTGCAAAGAGAGAAGAAAGAATCGGCGACCAAGTGATGGCAAATCTGAAAATGTGGGAAAAGGGAAAATGTGTCTGTCTGTCTGTTTGTTCAGGGCGAGAAGGTGGCTCCCGCATGCGAGGCGGCCAATGTGCGGGCCTTCCCCACCTGGGTTATCGGAGGGAAGACTCTGGAAGGGGAGCTGCAGCTCGACGAGGTGGAGAGGGAAGTGCAACGTGCTGAGGCTGCGGCGGCGACTGCGGCGACGAACAACACGTGACGGCGGCTGCTAGTCACTAGCACGGTGCTGCTGCAGTGGAGGCAGAGTCGCAGGTTGCCTTGGTGGAGTGATGTGCGTGGTGCTGCGTGGAGTGGGTTAGTTGGGGCTGTAGCCATGTCAAGAGCTTGAAAAAGGAAGGCGTGACTGTGAAGATTACGCTACTGCAGCTGTGTTGAGCGAGAATATCATTTAATTATGCCAATAGTAGTTCTTGTGGAGTTTGTAGAATGAGGTGATGGATGGTAATTTTTCAGGTAGTGGTGGTGGTGGTTAGATGCGGTGGCTGGGATTCGGTTGCGGCTGTGTTGCTGAAGCGATGCGTGGTTAAAGTGCTGTTGATGGTGGTGGTGGTGCTTGCACACACACACACAAACACACACGTCACACACACATACACATACACATACACATACACAGAGAGAGAGAGAGAGAGAGAGAGAGAGAGAGAGAGAGTGAAGGACAGACCCGCAGGACGCTGGGTTCCCTTCAGTGGGGACGGGGGGAAAAGACGAACCACACACGATTGAAGCTGCTGCCAGGGCCAGAGAGTAGGGACGGGGGGGAAGGAGAGAGAACAGAGGGGGAGGGTTGGAAGAGAGAAGAGAGAGGGAGTGGGGGACGGGCCGTTTGAGGCATCGGCTGGGCCCTGATGACCATACGACCCACACGTGCCGATGAAGCCAAGGAGAGGGGAACGGAGCTCAAAAGCGGCCAAATGTGTATGTAGTGCGAGCGTACTATTCACAGTCGAGGTTTCATCCAAATCCTTAGGGGAATCTTTGGCAGCGCGTCTTATTCGTCCACAGCTCTCGGGCTCCCCTCCCCATAACCATGCTCTACAGGAGAAGCGGCAGCGACTGATGTAGATGGACCCCACCTGCCCCTCTCACTCCCCCTCGGTAGCCCAACCTGCATTCCTCCCATAGCGGACCCAATCCATTGCGACCGCACCACCTCGCCATACAACACAGGGACACACACACAGACACACACACAGATATCCCAATTGTATCGTGCAGGCTCAATGTTGCACGGCCCAGATTCAGTTAGATCTGCACCAGTGCAGTCAGGCGTGGCGTACACTCGCCATGCTGAATTCCATCCAAATTCAAATTGAGAATGGATCAGCCTTTAGATGTTGGACTGTGCAGGGCTGGGCTCCCTTGCGGGGCTGCGCCGACACACCTTCGCCACAACATTGCTTCACGTGCTCCTCCACCTCCGCCTCCGCGTACTTCTCTCCGCTGCCGCTACTGCTGCGCAAAACTTGCTATATCGTATATTCGATATTTCGTTTGCTCACTGCTTCCGCAGCTGTAGCACAACGCCTAAAATTATGGCGGCCAATCCGGGGGCTCCATTACTGCACCCGTGCTGCCGCCTGGCTACCACTGGACTACCAGCAGCAGCACCGTAAGCGGCGCCAGCATCAGCAGCTACTTCTGTTGCTACGCAGTTCTATGACTACCACTGCACTGGCATTGCTAATGTGACTGCTGGTGGTCTTGTTGTTCTTGTTGGCGCTTGTGCCAGGCCACTACATCGTTGTACTTGAGTTTCCCGCCAAATATGTCGAGAGCAGAGCCCACGGTGATATCCACTCGCCCCCTACCAGCCACCCGCACGCGCTCCAAGTCCTCCTGAAAGACGATTTAGGAAGGAGGGAGTCAGTTGTGGTTGGAAAAATGACTCGAATCTGCATGTGTCGAATTACCAATAGAAGGAGCCCATCATCAACCCCGCCCATCTTTTTCCCCACCCCGCTAATCACACCTCTCCCCCCATCCACACCCTTCTACTGCACAACTCTTGAGGACGACCATACTCAGCAACACGCTGAGCACGACTAACCTAATGCAGGATTTTATACACGACGCCGTACACGACGCGGGCGCAAAAAAGTCGGTACTAATATTTCACAGGGCAGTTGCGTCGTTGCTTTGAATCCTTCGGTCTCCAGTCCGGCAGTTTGCAGCTTTCGATGTTTCGGCATTTGCTTTCCTTATTGACTTGTTTTCACAGCTTCCCCACAACCCAAACCTCCAGCCCGGGCACTGCGGGCCGTGAAGCAGGACCCCGCGTACCAGCGTCCTCGCTCCACCCGCATATGTCACTGGCAGGGGCGACCACTCCCCCAGCAGGGCCACCAGCTGCTCGTCAATACCCAGCTGCATGCCCTCCACATCCACGCCGTGAACCAGGAACTCGTCGCAGCTGGCAGCCAAGGCGGCTAGGCTGCCGGGACTGAGCGCCAGGGAGCTGAAGCGCTGCCAGCGGTCCGTCACCACCCAGTATTGGCCGTCTCGTTGGCGGCAGGAGAGATCCAGAACCAGGCGCTGCTTGCCCACAAGCTTGACCTGGGGGGAAGGGGCGAGGAGGAGGGGTGGGGTTAAGGGAAGGGAAAAGAGGGGTGAGGAAGAGTGGGTGAGAGAAAAGGCCGGGGGGGTAGGAGATGGGAAGTGGGGGGAGTTACGTGATGTAGAAGTCAAAGAAAGAACCAGCTGCCAACACGTAAGATCCACACCACCTCTTTTAGCGAACGGCCGTGCCTTGCAGGTATGTATGTATGTACATATGTACACACACCCCAGGGCCCACCGAGGGGCCCCAATGCAATTCGCGATGAAGAAACCCACCAGCTGCTTCAGACGGTCCTCCTCCAGTCGTCCTTCCCGAAACACGTACGACGTGACGATGACGTGGCTGGCCCCGGCATCCAGGTACTCCATCGCATTGTCCGCTGTCACCCCACCCCCCATGTGAAGGCCCCCTGGCCAGGCGCGGAGAGCCTCAAGCGCCGTTTGCCTGCATAGCACGTGGAGAAGGATTCATCGTGAGCTATTGAGCACGTGTTTTGTCGTACGCGGTTATGGGGACACCTCCCAATTTAATCGTACTTGCTAGCTTCATCCGCTCCCAGCATGATGACGTGGCCCCCCGTAAGGCCATCTTTCCGGTATAGCTCGCTGTACCAAGAGGAAGGCTTGTCCGACACGAAATTTGTCTTCAGCTCCGAAACCGACCTGGTGACGAAAAGATACATAATGCACACGCATTTCATGTGTCTCCTCTTCACAGGTCATTCTCTAGGAATGTAGCAGACCGAGGCAAGTAAGCGGGTGGTTCGTATATACGGTACGAGACTCATGTGTAGAGGATGGCGTGCCCCGACAGAGAGTGACTCCCGGTTCCCAGGAGCTCTGTGAATTTTAAATATGGAATGGGTCTCAGGGACTACATACTGGGAATTTTTTAGGCAGGGGGTGTCGGTGGGACGCAAGCCGGCAAGGTGGAATGGGTATGGCCCTTACCCCTGGGTCTCCGGAAGGTCCTTAAGCGTCGAGCCGACGATTTGTTTAACTTTTCCCTGCGCGGTGTTATTTCAATTTTGCATGTGGGAATGATCAGTTGAGCGCCTCTATTCAGCCCACGATTGCGCACCTTATGGATGTCAATGCAAGGCCGGAAACGTATTGCGCCAACGCTTATGGTACTCGCTGCTTGCGCGCTAGCTGCTAATGGAATGACATGACTGCGGGATGTGGACATGGTGGAACCAGCGCCTTGCAAGAGCATGGCCGGCGGCTGCCTTGCAGACCAAAAAAGCTGCAAGCAACCGCTACACCTGTACCTAACGATATAGCATATAATTTGCCTTCAGCGCTGGTGTCGCAGGTTACCGGTACCGGTTTGTTGTACGAGGCCGTTTGAAGGTTGGAACTTAGGAAGCTGTTCATGGACGCGCAAAAAAAGCGTTATCCGCCGAACCAGCACAATTGTGATAAGTATCTTCTTTCCAATCTAAATTTTGAATTGAAGTGACCCCATGTTAGAGCGTTGACTTGGAGAATTTGCAGGCAAGCTAGGTTCTGTGCAAGGTCTTACGATGGTCCTCAGCAGAAAACTGCGTCCCGCCCATCACCATAGACATGAGAAAATAACTCTGTTGTAACGGCATACCTGGAATGGAGGATGCCAAGACCGTCCGTTACGTTTCCAAGGACCCGATACAGAACTTGAAAGTGCGGGTGACTCTATGGCGCCTCAGCGTTCAGAGATCTCAGGTTCACGTCATCAACCAAAATGCGGGTGGCACGGTAAGCGAATTTGCTTTGACTCAGCGCGGGGTCAGAAGCCATGGGCAGTCTTTCCGTTTACCGATCCGCAGGGTCAGCCCCAGGACGCAACTCAAGGCCAAGCTCAAGCCCAATCCCAATCCCAAGTAGCTCAAGGAAGCGGAGCTCCGCAGCAACTGCAGCAGCAACCCTTTCCGCAGCCTCTGCCCCAGCCTGCCTACGGCCCAGACGGCCAACCCCTGCCTGCCGCCCAGGGCACCGCAGCCTACCCTGCCGCCTCCCAAGGCGCATCTGGGCCCTATCCCCCTGCTCCGCAACCACAGCTCCTCCCGGCGACGTACCCGCAACAACACGCGCAATACGTGGACCCTCAGGCTCAATACATGGGCGTAAATCCCCAGCAGCAACAGCAACAGCTGCAGCAGGGGCAGCAGACCGTACCTCAACCTGCGCTGCAGGCAGCTCAGCCGATCGCGGAGGCCGCCCTGGGCGAGGCCTGGGGGGAGCTCAGGACTGGGAGGGGGCCAACCCAACACCAGCAGCAACAGCAGCAGCGGCAGCACAGGTCGTCCGGCACCGGTCCAGTGGCCGGGGGAATGCGCCAGCGGATGACCATACAGCAACGGCTTGATGCAGCCGCTGCGGCAGGAGGCATTATGCTGCCGCCATCCGGCTCGCCGCAGGCACCAGCAGCGGTAGCGACAAGCGTGGCGGGACGCCTGGGACGGAACCAAATGGCCCCACGGTCAGCGGTGACGGGGCAGCAGGGGGAGATGGCGACGGCGGCGCCGGCGGCGGACCCTTTTTGGGTGGCGACAGGCGGAGACGACGGCCCAGCGGTGCCGTACGGGCAACTGCCACAGCGGCAGGGCCGGCCCTTGGGTGAAGGTACGGCGGTATTGTCGCTTGCGTTGTCCCGTTTCCATCCTTTGAATTGGTAAAACTGGAGAGGAATCCATAATCTGTGTCCGTGCAGTGTCGTATAGTTAGTGCGGTGTAGCATAGTGTAGTGTGGTGCTGTGTAGTTTAGTGCAGTATGGTGTTGTCTAATGTAATGTAATGTAAAATAATGTAGAACACGGCTCGGCTGCACACGCATATGTTGGTCTCTTCGATTCCTGAATCTGCTGGTAACGCATCGCATTGGGAGGGAAGAGGAAAACGTGCGCCTTGGCCCCAATGTTCGTCTGTCGCTGTGTCGGTCTGCCAACCCCCTGGATGCCCTCTTCGTCCCCGACCCATCCCACCCAGCGATGGAGGACCCCGGGGCCAGTGCCGGCGGCGGTGATGGCGGCGGCGGCGGCGACACTGACGCCATGCCGCGGCGGCGGCAGCGACGTCAACAGATGGCGCAGCAGATGGCTACGTCCGGCGCTGATGCAGACCCCGCCGCCTTGCTGCAAGGACAGCTAGTACAACAACAACAACAACAACAGGCGATATCGGACCCACAACAGCAGCAGCAGCAGCAAGCAATGGCCGCTGCAGCGGGGCCGGCGGCAGGAGCGCCGCCTCCGCCACAGGCGCAGCCACAAATGGGCGTTGCGGGCCTGGTCATTCCGCCACAGGTCGTACCACAGGTCGTACCGTACGGCAGCCTGGGTACGGAAGCTCGCCTGGCCGCCACAGGGCAGCCTCCGGAGGTACCGCCGACCACTCCACATCACGAATGTGAGTGTGTAACTGTTGGGCCCTATGTGACCGACCCTTGGGGTGGTGGCTGGCGATTTTGATGGGGTTGTTGAAGCCGTTGTAAGGTGTGCCTTCATGATGCTTCTGTTCTGATTGACCAGGACAGAGCGACAGACAGACAAACCGAACCAACGGCTTTCTTTTTTGTACATCACTTCCGCGGCTCCACCGCCGCCTCTTCGCCTCTCGTCCTCCTCCTGCAGTACCTGAAAAGTTCAAGGCCAGCCGTGTATTCGGCTGGCAGGAGAAGGTTTACAGCCCGAGCGAGGTGGCGGCGGCTCAGGTGGGGCCCAAATAGGGGGAGAGCGGGAGGGGGTTTGGGGCGCAGGGAGAGAGAGAGAGGGAGAGATGAGGGAAAGGAGGGAGGAGGGATGGACAGGCGCAAGGAGCGTGGAGGGCACTAAAACGCAAGACCCAACCCTACAACTCCTCACCCCTAAAACGTCTTTACGACGACGAAAGGAATCTCGCGACGCTTCTCTTAGTCCTCTTTTGTCACCATCACTGCCCCGCTATAACCCCCTCCCCTTCCCCCCTCACCTCCTCACCTCCCCTTCCCCCCTCACCTCCTCACCTCCCCTTTCCCCCTCACCTCCTCACCTCCCCTTTCCCCCTCCCCCCTCCCGCATGTTCCTCACTACACCCACCGCCACTACACCCACCGCCACTACGTCCACCGCTGTGACGTGTCCCCCTCTCAGGCCGCCGCCGCTACCCAGCTGACCCAGCAGCCGCAGCATCAGGCCGGGGCGGTGCAGTCCAAGCGGCAACAGGCATTTGGCTCCCAGTCTGCCCTGGACCATAAACGGATGGTGGGTGGGTGGGAAGAGGGAGGGGGAGGAGGAGCAGGAGGAAGGGGAGGAGGAGAAGGAGGGGGGAAAGACGAACCACGAACGAGTGAAGCTGCTGCCAGGGCAAGAGGAGGTGGGGGGGAGGAGGACGAAGGGGTAGGAGGCGGAGGGGCCTTCCTCCTATCGCCAAAACCACACACATCCTTCCAACCTAACGCCTCCTATTCACCTGCAGGACCCAAGGACCCGTGGGTCAATCCTGTACACGTTCATACAGACGGACGACTTCTGTGTGGCCCAGGAGCTTGGTCGTACGGTGACCACGTCGTCGTACGAGGACGAGAATGTGCTTGTGAGTTAATTTAATGAGGGCGCTGTGTGTTGTCCTGGTTCGTAGCATGACAAGGGTAAGAGGTCGTCCTAAATCAAATCTTTAACGAAATCGCGTCCTAGGATGTTAATAATGGAAAAAACATAGGTACATGCACATGTTGCATGTCTTGTCCCTCCCGTCCTGAACGCACACATACACAGGCGCGCGCGCACACACACACATATATACACTCACACACGGGGGCTGTGTTGGCGGTTGTGCGCAGGTGACCAAGCTGCTGACCAACCCCAAGAGCCGGGCCCAGGTGCTGTGCTTCCGCTCCATGTTCATTGTTGCGGACCTAGGGGGGGAGGCGGAGGCGGGGGCGGGGAACAACAAGGTATGGGGGAAGGGAGGAGAGGGGAGGGAAGGGAAGGGGAGGGAGAGGGGAGGGAGAGGGGATGGGAGGGGAGGAGAGGGGAGGAGAGGAGAGGGGAGGGAAGGGGAGGGAAGGGGAGGAGAGGGGAATTAGTGGCGTGATGGAGGTAGGAGGGTTAGTGCGGGATGGTAAGGTCATGTCCGTTGGTGCCTGTTTCTAAGTATTGTATGCACACAGACAGACAGACAGACAGGTGCACCGACACGACGTACTGATGCTCCAGTTTCACGTGTACGGCAAGGTGCTCAGACACAACAGACAAAGCTATAGAGCTCTCGCTTTAGTAACGGTCTCACAGCATACACATGTACACATGCGCACATACAGGCGTACTTGTTGACGACTTGACATGCGCATGTATGTATGTATGTATGTATGCAGGTCCTGGTGTCCATTCGCGCCTACCCCGACGGCTCCTTCGACATGTGTCCGGGGTTTTCCCGAGGTGCCTTGAAGTACCGCTTTGAAGACTGTCATGGTGGGTGGATGGGTAGGTGGGTGGGTGTTTCCGTCTGTCTGTCTGTCTGTCTGTCTGTCTGTCTCTTAGACAGCGTCTGACTGCATCTGTACCTGTCTGTCTGTCTGTCTGTCTGTCTATCTACCAGGTGGTATTTTTGAGTACACGGTCGACCACGCCTCCGCCACGGATGTGCCCTCCCTGGAGAAGAGAACTGCCAAGTTGGAGCGGGCGGTGGTGGCGCGGGCGGAGGAGCTCAGACGGGCGGCCCTGAAGTCCGACTTTCAACCACCGCCGGGTGGGGGGGTGGGGGATCGGGGAGGTGCGGGCTGGGTTGGTAGCTGGGTAGCTCAAAGGCTGGGGGAGAATGTGACTGACTGACTGGCTGGCTGGCTGGCTGGCTGGCTGGGGCTCGACTGGAGGAAGGAAAAGCATATAGACGTGGATCGAAGTTTGTTGGTGTGGGCTGGTTTCGGCGCGTGGGTTAGACTAGGCTAGGTCAGGTCACGGAGGCGTGGTCCATCATCCAGCTCTCTGACCTAAAGCTCTCCCGCATGTTGTGTTTTTTGAATTCCCCTCCCCCCTCCGGTTCCGATTGTAGGATTACCATGACGATCGCTTTAGCAGTTCCTCCGTCCTATAATGGTTCCGCCTCCCATTTCCCCCTTCAAAAAAACCTAAACCCTCGTCCACCATCTACCAACCCCACTCACCCCTTTTTTACCCCCAGCGGCCGATTGCACAAGGTTGCTGTTGTTGGGTGAGATTCAGTCCGCGGCGGACTTCCCTATGGACCGACTGTACATCGAGTACGTTGTTCGTTGGGACCCGGACGTATGGGAACTAACAACCACTTCCAACTGTCAACAAACGCAACCGGGCATCATACAGGTGCGGAGGCGGCTGCGCGGGAGTCCGACGTGGGACGCTCAGGGACCTGTTCCCAGGGGGCCCGGGGGGAAGGGGAGGGGGGCCCGAAGCGGGGAAGGCCCACGTCCCTGGGTCTAGCCCCAACCCAACCCCTTTGCCTTCGTGCCATTGCTGTACTTGCCCTGAGCAGCGAAGGTGTATTCCGTGTGTATTTCCCCCTTCCCCTTCCCCCGCCCCGCTCCTCCACCACCCCTCTCCCCGCCCCCTCTCTTAACCCACCCACCCTCATAAACTCTTTCCGGCACCGGAGGAGCGCCTCAAGAGACGAAGACGGTGTTTGGCGGCGCTGTTGTTGACGGCAGCTGTTCTTTTCCTTACACACACATCCCCCGTCCCACTCATACACGCTATCTGCCTGCTTGCCTGAAAACCACCTTTACCATGGGGCACATGAATCCTTTGCTCCCTACCCCCACCCAACGAATTTAACTCTCCCCGGGGGGCCTCACCCCCCCCCCGGTCTCCTTACCATCGTCCCCCTTGCCCCCTCTAACTTGGCAGGGTGTCACCCACATCTCCCGGGTTACTGTTTACCCCCCCGACCCCGCCACCGACACCCCGCCGCGTGACGTTGCGCACTTCGCACACCCCCTGGAGCTCGAGTGGGTCAGCCGACCAGCTGCAGTACCAGAACCAGTGCTAGGGGCAGGGGGAGGGCAGGGGCCCGGAGCAGCCGGGGGCCTAGCTCCTAATGCATATCCCTGCATGTTCTTCCAGGTGCGTATGTATGTATGCATGTATGTATGTGTATGTGTATGCGAAGGAGACGGGCAGGGAAAGGGCAGGGAGATATGGAGAATAGTGGACATGTTCCGGATGTGAAGAGCAGGTGAACCGTGACATTTTGCACACATATGTTCCTCTTTACCCTCCCACCCCCTTCTCACTACCTTTTCCCCATCTTCTTTTCCCTTGTCCCGGCCATATATCATCATCATCATATCATCATCATCATATCATCATCATATCATCATCATCATCATATCATGATCATCGTCATCATCATATCATCATATCATCATCATCATCATCGTCAATCCCCCTCCCCCCACTCCACTCGTTCGTGGCTCGCCTTTCCCCCCACTCCGTCACCTTGTCCAGGTGTGCACTCTGGACACCCTGAACCGCTACACCAGCCAGGGATACGGCTGGCTGGCTCTGGGGACACACCACCCGGTGCCGGGGAGCGAAACACACGTCGTACGAACGTGGAAGCCGCTCGGTGAGTTTGGGGGGGGGGAAAGGGAGCTGAAAGTGGCTGTCTGTGGGTGGTATTACCATCATATTCATTATTGTTGTTATATTAATACTATTATCATGATCATCATCATTATCATCCAAAGCGCGCCCACCAAAAGCAACTTTCAAGTGCTGGAACACACGAGGCGGTGACATATGGCCCGCCCGCCAAATGGTTATCAGCTCTTCCACGTATTATATGGGGTTTAGGGTTTTGGCGGCCCTCAGCATCCCCATCCGCCGCCCCAACCATCTCAGCACACACCGGGCCGCACACACACACACACACACATCCCGCCCTGCCCGTATAACAACCTCTCATCACCTCCCCCCTACCACCCCTTCGCCCTCCCCAGGCACTATTCGTGACCGCCAGGCGGAGTTCTTCGTGGGCGGCTCCCCAGAGCTGGCCGACCTGGCCTACCTGACCACACCGACAGGCTTCAACGGCAAGATACTAAACAAGTACGGCTTCAAGACGGAGACCATAGGCGCAATAAAGGTACGGCGAATACGTATGTACGGCTGAACGTCCGCAACCATTAACCTCCACTCGATTTAACTCCCATCCATAAGTACCAAATACTTAAGGCACTTACGAAGCAAATCCTTCTTCCCTACCAATAACCAAAACAAATCCCACAACCCCACAACCCCCCCATACACAATTCCCACCCACCCACACACGCACACACACGCACACGCGCACCACACCATCCCGTGGTGTCCAGGTCCGCCTCCACACCGTCGTTCAGCGCTACAACCCGGATGCAGCTGCGCTGGCTGAGCTGCGGCGCTCGGGGGCCTCACCCCTACGGGGCCGCGGAGGGGGGTCGGCCACATTGCTGGGCGCACTTGACACCCCCCACCTCAAGCGGAACCAGAAGAAGGACCTTAGTCTCAAGGTACGTATTCCCGTGCCCTGCCGTACCGTGTCGTACATCTACGTGAGTTTCCAAACGTACGTTCCCCCTAGATAGCATCCACACATTTCCACATCAGCATCAGCATCATATCGTCATCATATCATCACATTTTTAATGTCTTTTGATTCCCGCGTAAAACACACACACATACACACAGATCTCGCCCCCCTACCCCCTGTTTCCCCCCACAAACCGACCACCCAGATGGTCGTTGAGAGGGCGCGTCAGCGGTTGCGTGAGGCCCGGGGAACTGACCAACTGCCCGGAGGAGATGTGGGAGTACGGCCGGGACTGGTTTCGGAAGCACCCACCATTGTCGTACACCCGCAGGTGGGAACGGGGTGGGAATGTGCGCGTGCTATGTGTGTATTTCTGTATGTGTGGTGGCGTAGGGCCGGAGGGTTGAAAAGGGCGGGTTTTCAAGGAATTTGTTTTTGTGTTTCGGGATTCGTACTGGCGTGTCTGGGTGTATGACGGGCACGTGTGTTTTTGAGGACGGGTGCGGACCCCGTGGAGAGGCGTTTTGGTGTGCTGACGCGCAGTGGTACATACAGGACCAGCAGCTTACTGCCGGAAAAAGTAGCCCCGCGGTGTGGTGCCGAATTCTCTCCCCCCTCCCCCCTAGGCTCCCCCTTATTCCCGAACTACTCTCCGTCTATCTCTGGTATATCTGCTTCCTTCGCCAGTGGTTCGTCTCTCTTTACCCCTTCCCCCCGGTAGTCCCCTTTTGGCATCATATAAACCCCTCCCCTCCCCACTCCCCTCCCCCCCCTGTTCANGACACTGTGGCCGCTGAAGACAGCACTGTGAGGTTCAAGGTGGTGGCACGGGTGAATGAGGGCAGGGGGGGGGAATA